TTAGGTTGCAAACCATACATGCTAACATTAGATAGACGTTTCCCTTTTGTTAATCCAAATCTTAGGACTACCATTGTATGATAACATTAGGTTAAAAATAGGCTAGTCTCCCTTAGACTCTTTTCTTCCTCTTTTGCATATGCATTTCAAACTAAAACCTTTTTCTTAGCAAATCAAAAAAATGCTAATCACACCTAAATCCTTTTTCAAGGTAACAAAATACAAACCAGTCAAATGTGGCATCTTTCCTCGAGGGCGTAACTCAAAACCATCTTCAGTAAGGGCATGATTAATTTACTTCTGTGCCAACGCGTGAGTCTCCAAAGGTCAAGCTGCGGCAGAAGGCGGAATTAACATTATTCATAAAAAACAAAAAACAAACAAAACATGTGAGCCGAACTACGGTAACTTTGATTCCTCAAAAAGGATACTTATGCATTAGGGTAGGGCCCAAGCGAGTACAACTTTATTTCCCTACATTATTTTCTCCTTTCTTTTGCATGTATTCTTCCTCGGTAGTAAGCAGTAAGCATAGATTAGACACACCCATAAGATTAGAACAACAAGAGTGGATATCATAGAGTACTACGGGCGTGTGGGGTGCTAATACCTTCCCCTTGCGTAACAGACTCCCTTACCTGATCTCTTGGTTGTAAGACTGTGAATTCTCTCTTCTTAGGTTTTCTCGATGTTTATCTTTCCCTTCATGTGGGATAAAATACGTTCGATGGCGACTTCATTATTTGATGATTTTTAGCCGGTTATTTCATAAGGCAAAAGAGAGATCCATTTGAAGTTGTGAAGAGAAAGCAACAAAAGTTGTTGGACTAATGTGCATCGCCAGGGGATGGTCGGGATAGGGGAATCGCGTCTGCATCGTCGGGCGACAGTGGAGCGAGGAATGACCAATTTTTCAGTTGATTCTGCCTTATTTCGCTGCTGTGTCCGCTGGGCGAGGAGAAGAAGTGTCACCAGGCGACGTGTATATGTTGCCGAAAGAGAGAAGATATTTTCCCCCAGCTTCCTGCATGGTGCATGTTGAGCCAAGAGTTTAGGTAGCGTCGTTGGGCGGCGTGTTTGTGTCGTTGAGCGATGGTCGTGGATCAGAATTTCTTTATATTTAATTTTCATTTCATTTTGAATGGTTATGGTTTTGGGTGTTATTTTTTATCTCCCAATTCCATAAGCCTCATTTTTTGTAGTGGATTAGCTTAGATAACAAGTATGGAGCTTGCATAGTGATGATCCAGGGTGGATTTCTCTTCGATCAACGTTGACAAACCGGTAGATTTGTGGTTCATTTTTATTTTTTCTTTGTGTATTCTCTTTTAGTTGGGTTTGTATGTATATTTACTTTAAACCCATGTACATTTGTCGCCCATGGCGTTGTATAAAACTTGCTTTACAAATATTTGTCGAGTATTGTCCTGGATTTTTGCTTTGTTCTCGGGATTTTGGTTGTTATAGACATATACTGCTCAGATTCTTATCTAGGATGATAGTCTGTTAGTTTCTGGATTCTAGAGATAGATTTAGAGTTGACATTCACTTAGGTGTTTGTGATTAATGCCTCTGTGTTGGTTGTGTCGCTCTGAGAGATCGTCGACGTGATTAGCGTGGTTGACTTATATGTTGTTGAGGTGGTTAAGAGATCGCTACCGAGGTGATACAGTAGGCCTCTCAATTTGGGTTAGAAATGACTTAGGTTGTGAGTGATATGTGGTGACATTGATGAGTATTGTAGGTTGAGTATAATTGGTCGATAGGTTTAAGTCTGTGAAAAGTAGTATATATGCACACTTGATAAGTTATTCATGTTTTTTTTATTTTTGTTTACATTTATTTTCTATTGATAACTTTTACCCTTTCCATTCAAACCCTCAAACTCATTAACGAATGATTTTTCGAATGGTGACTCGATAACTAATCTTTGTTGACACGATACGCTACAACCTATATCACCCCATTAAAATAATACTTTACTTTTTGCTTGCTTCTTTACCGCTTCAGCAACTGTAGAACCAAGCATATTGGCATTCATAATCATTTGATCAAGGAACTTGTGGAAGATGAAATTGTAAATCTTGAGTATATAGCAACTGAAAAATAGATAGTTGACATATTCACTATGGCTTTAGATGCAACTCAGTTTGACAAACTAAGGAGTGCTCTTGGTATTTTCATATCTGAGAATCTGTAGCAATTAATACATGGGAGGCGTTGCAAGAATAGACAATCATTTTCTTTCTCTTAAGACCACCATTGCACGTGAAATAAGGCTGATTATTCCCATTTCAAAGTTGCTTTATAATTGGTACTTCGTTACAAGCAAGAACAATCTATATTTCTCTTTATCTTGCTCTCAAAAAAAAAATTCTCTTTTCTCTCAAGTTCTTCAATTTCCTTTCAATATGAATCAAAAATTTGAAGAAGCTAAGGCAACTACTAGGAAGTCTAAGACTCTTGAGTCAAGGAAGGTTTGTATGGAGAAAAATGACACCAAGGTAAAAACACATGTTGGACCATCTATTGGAACATATGTGATATGGAAAAAGTATGTGACAAAAATGAAGTCCTTAAAGAAGAAGCCCGCACAAACAACTGACTCTGACTCAGATGTTGATGAAGACTGGGTTACTTTTATTAAGTCAAGAGGTTGGTCCGGGAAAACAAGTCTGATGATTGTTAATTCTAGGTTTTTCATTATTTGTATGATTGAATTTTATTTTTGGACATGATATGTTTTTTGTTTTGTTGTTGGATCTGTAACGGCTTGTTCGCCTTATAGTTTTGTTGCTAATAATAATGTTGTCCATGGGTTTCTTTTCTGCACCTGATTTGGTTTTTGTGCACATGGCTTCCATACTTATGATCTGGTTTTCTTTTATTCATGCCTTTACCAAATTATGGCAAAAAGGGGGAGTAGTTGTGTAGTGGTTTGTTCTAAGTGACTTGACTGACTACTTACTTTGATTGTGTGCATGCATGATTCATTGTGTGCCTGATTGTATGGGAACATTGTGCTTGATTTGTTTTGATGTAGAAGCCACATTACATGTTTTCTGATTTTGTGCTACTTCTACTGTTGTTGCCACTGATTGTTCTAAATGGTTGTGGTGTGCTTATGATACTCAGTTTGTATTAATTTTTAAGATTTAGCCATGCACATCTTGAAAATTTTACAAGATTTGATTTTGCCAAAATTTTCCAAAGGGGAGATTATTTTTCCTTTTGATTGGATGCATTATGAAAATTAATATGGAGTGTACAATATGTTTTGGTCATCAAAGAACACATGTAGGACACAAAGTTCTAACATGTGTGCAACATCTGGCCTTTTTTTAACGGGCCATGGTTGTTGTTGTTCTGAGCAAAAAATTTGGTTGTGTTTCAATCAGATTTGTTGCTATCGTTTAGCAATGTATTAATTAGATTTGTTTGAAAAATTGAATAAGACCAAATCTAATTATTCAGAGATTTAAATTTGAATAAAAATAAATCAAATATTTTTGTTAGAGGCTTTTGAAAAACAAATCAAAATAGAATCCTCTACAAATCTGGATTGTTATTTTTTATTCAAGAGCACTCAAACCTAACATTTTTGGATATGTTTTTACTATGTTTGGCACAACAATCG